CCACATTCCATTAAGATAGTATAAGATTAATGCAAATTTGTTTTTATCTAAATGAAGATGTTTCTGTTTTTATTTATGTTTATCTTTTTATCAATAGTGCACAATTACTATTATTTACTTAAGTGTATATTAATAAAATGCTTTACCCCCAAAAAACAAAATATAGATTATATTCCCACCTGCACATAATATTTATAAAAGTTGACTCTACTCTAGCTCTTAAAAAAAGGCTTAATCAATTTCAAAGAATTTTCAGTCATTCAGAATATAGTCTCTGATCACAATGGCAATAAACAAGAATTCAATAACAAAAAGATAATGAAACTTCATTCCTGTACCTTGCTAGATACAATAGCCACTTTTCAAAGGTATTCCTCCAGAAAAACATCAGTGCAAAACAGTGGTTTGAGGTGGTTCACTCTGAATAGACTGAATGGAACATCTTCCTTATGAACAGTACTTCCTGTTTGGGGCAGAAATGTGTAAAAGCTGGAGGAACTCTGCACTCAGCTACTCAGGAAGGACTGGTCTCTGCGGCAGTAAGAACAAGAGCCATTTTAACCAGAGAAGAATGTCTGTCATGATCTTCCTGGTCTGCTGTGGGTGTTCATGGCCGTCTTTGGCTTCAGTATGTGTGGCCCTAAACATGGGGCCTCAGCTTCTCTTAGAGCTCAGGGATGACCCTGTGCAAGTTGTGAGAAGCAGGGGTGTTAGAGGGAAGAAAAGGGCAAATGAACACCTGGTGATCCTTTTCTTGGTCCTTGTGTCATAACTTCATCTAACCCTCATGACCCTTGAGACATTTTGGAAAACCAGCCCTGCCTTCTCCTTTTCCCCCCGGATCCAGCATGGCTGACAAAGTAACCCAAGCACAAACCACAGCAACAGTCGGGAAGGAGAAGCTTTGACCGTGGACTGCACATATGAAACCATTCAGAGGAGATACACTTTGATACAAACAGCCCAGTGGTGGGATGGTTTTCTTTATTCATCGGCTTGACAACATGCCAAATGCAAAGCAGTATCACTACTACCGGAACCTCCAAATGGCAAAAAAGTCCATCAGGCTTACCGTCTCTTCCTTATAAATGGACGACTCAGCAAAGTATTTCTGTGCTCTCTGGGAATACCAGAGTGACAGAAATGACCATAGAGGATAATCAAAGCATGACTTCAATTAAGACAGCCACCTGCTCAGACCTTAGGAAAATCCCATGATCACAGACAGGGAGAAGGCAGGCACTGTGGTGGCACAGATGAGACTTTCTAATGTAAACTTTCCTTCTATAAAACATTTTCCCTTTGAACTCAGTGTATGAAACAACACTGCTTCCTGAGACTCCTGGGTATTGTGTTTGTATCTGGGGTGAAAATAAATCTCAAAGTGCTTTTCAAATTGTTCCTAAACAGCTAGATTGAGTGAATCTACTTATTCAGGAAAATCAGAAGTAGTTTCCTAATTCTTGAGTTGTTGGATTTTCAGATCTGAAGTTGCAGGAAAAATCACTTTATCTTCCAATAGTATGCTGATTTTAACAGTTCACACAAACATAATGTGTTTTATTGCTTTGTATATGTGTACATTTTGTAAAAAATTGTAAATATGTAAATATATGATTTTTACTAGAATCAAATAGATAAGAAGGCATCTAATCTTTTTAAAAACCTGGATGGCCAAAAAACAGCTTTGGCTAAAACAATGATCATTAGAAATTCACAATACAGTTGAACCTTGAACAAACCACATGGGTGTGAACTGTGTGGGTTTACTTATACAGGATCCTTTTCAAAAGTAAATACTGGCTTAAAACTCAACATTCAAGAAACTAAGATCATGGCATCTGAGATCCCACCACTTTTTGGTAAATAGATGGGGAAACAATGGAAACAGTAACAGACTTTATTTTCTTGGACTCCAAAATCACTGCAGATGGTGACTGCAGCCATGAAATTAAAAGATGTTTGCTCCTTGGGGAAAAAAAACAAAAACAAAAAAAACCTATGACAAACCTAGACAGTGTATTAAAAAGTGGAGACATGACTTTGCTGACCAAGGTTCATATAGTCAAAACTATGGTTTTTCCAGTAGTCATGTACGGATACGAGAGTTGAACACTAAAGAAGGCTGAATATGGAAGAATTGATGCTTTTGAAATGTGATGTTGGAGAAGACTCTTGAGAATCCCTTGGACAGCAAGGAGACCAAAACAGCCAATCCTAAAGGAAATATGCCCTGAATATTCATTGGAAGGACTGATACTGAAGGTGAAGCTCGAATACTTGGCCACCTAAAGTGAAGAGCAAACTCATTGGAAAAGACCCTGATGCTGGGAAAGATTGAGGGCAGGAGGAGAAGGGGGCAACAGAGAATGAGACGGTTGGATAGTATCATTGACTTAATGGAGATGAGTCTGAGCAAATTCTGTGAGATAGTAAAGGACAGGGAAGCCTGGCGTGCTGCAGTCCATGGGGTTGCAAAGTGTCAGACATGACTTAGCAACTGAACAACAATATTATTCCATATATATGTTATCACAACCCAGAAGAGTTTCCCAATCTGATCATGTTTCAGATTTCAGCTTGATCAACCTATTTTACCTATGGCTTTTTATAGACATAGAAATCATTTCTTTATTCCCCCTCTAATATACTGTCTCCCTAATCGTAACATAAATTATTTTACATATACCCAGAGTCTACAGGAAAAAACAAGACTTTTAAACCCTGAAAAGATAGCACTTCCCTTACACCCAACAAACACACATAAAAGCTCACAAACCACAGTGTGTAGAAGGACTAAAGCATAGATGGGTGGAGCTCCCACTACACAGCTGAGTGATGATATTTAGGGTTGGCTTCTGTTGAATCTCTCATGGAAGCAATCATGCACAGGAGCATTATCAGTTCCATTTTCAAGATATGATGAATACCAATATTTAAAGGAACTTGACATCAAAGTGTGTCCTTGTATCAAAAGAGTAAAGAATCATGAAGACACAAAGAAGAGTCTTGCTGAGTCTCCTATGGATACAGATTTGCTGTGAATTAAGAACATCCTGGGGGAACATGAAGAAACATCATACTTGAATTTAGAAAGGAACAAAGTGGAGGGGAAGATGGAGGAAGGGAGAACATGAGTCTGTTGGGTTGTATCCTCCACCATGAGGATGGAAACTAGAGAAAAATACCCTCCATTTGCAAACAGCCACAGTCATTGTTCAGGGACCATCACCTGTGCCTATTTCTCTCTTTCTCAACAGGGCTCAGAGTGCAGATGAAGGTGGAGCAGACTCCTGGGGTTCTGATCCTCCAAGAGGGGAGAAATTCCTCTCTGATATGCAATTATTCTACTTCCATGACCTGTGTGCAGTGGTTCCAACAAAATCCTGATAGACGCCTCATCTCCTTGTTTCACATAGCTTCAGGAATGCAGCAGAAAGGAAGACTGAAATCCACCATCAATAGCAAGGAGCATTACAGTCAACTCTACATCAGAGACTCCCAGCCTGAGGACTCAGCCACTTACTGCTGTGCTGTGGATGCACAGTGCTCTGCAGACACCTGCAGCCTGTACGCAAAACCAGAGTTGAGGACCCAACGCCCTGAGTGGGAGCAGATGCCCAGGGGATTAGAATTGAAATCTCATTGTCTTGCATCTCCCGATTCCTACAGAAAGCATTTCTATAGAACTACAACTTGACACTGCAGAGTAGGCACATAAGCAGGTCTTCTGGAGATCTCTGTAACTAGGTAAAATCTACACATTGATCAACTCTTTCCTATCTGATTCTGTCTTTCTGGACAGAAGTGAGCAGCTGGTTCAGTGTAGAGCAGAACCCTTGATCCCTCCATCTCTAAGGGCACCGAAGCACAAGTCTCACCTCTTCAACATCTTTTTATAGCTTACACTGGTATAGACAGAACCCTGGGAAAAGCTCTATTTTTCCTTCTAAATATACTTAAATGGGAATAAAAGGAGTAGAAGAAACTAAGAGCCACAATTAATATGAAGGTAGGGCAGACCTTTCTGCACACCAGACCAGAGACTCAGCCACATATCTTGTGTTGCAGCAACACAGGGCTTCCCAGGCACCTGAAGTCTGAACCCAGATGTGTGTCTGCAGTCCCCAAACCCAACATGAGGTAGAGGTCTCTGAATGTTTTTACTCACACCTAACATGGTATTAAGAAGTGACTCTGGATAAATCAAAGTGATCTCACTTTCAAAAAAAAATTTGAGGTGCTAAAGAATATTCAACCTAGTAACTATCTCTTTCATTTCCTAAATAGAACTTTCCCTAACCTCCTAGTCCCTAAATCAGAGAATCAGTGATTCAGTAATTTCAGTTAGCAAATCTTTCAAACCTAATTTTAAGACTCTTTGTAAAAATAAGTATATTCAGCCTGAATGCTGTTTATTCATAACCCATATTATTCTCATGCATGAAGGGAAATCATAGAAAGTCAAACCTTAAAGTGTCAAAGAAAGACAATGCCATGCTCTGGAACCCTTCACTTAATTTTATTTCAACTTCTTACAGAGCATTTAATTGTTAATTTTGTTCATATTCAATAGTATTTACTTATATCATTCGTATCATTATCCTTTTTGTTATGTTTTGGAAGACCATTGGAGAAAAGCTAATTTCCAGTCATGAGAATGCTATTTCATCTTGAGAAAATGAGTCACAATTTTTGTACCTCATTCAAGAATCCTCAGTTAGGGACATATTTTCAACCCACCATTATTCACAGGGTTTGTATATTCAATCATTCAACAAATATGCATTTAATATCTGTCAGGTACTGGATAAGGATGTTTCAGTAAATAAAGAGTTCTTTCTCTTGTTGAATATATAGCCCTGTGGCAAACAGATTTTTGTTATCATACAGTTCTTTTATAGTAAAAAAGGATGAAATTTGGTATTATAGAGACAAATAGATGTCAGTCAGAGAGAGCTTCCTGGATTGTGTGATGCCTCAGTTTGAAGCCTAGTAGTTTAAGAGGAGTTAATCAGGCTAAAGACAAAAGAGAGTGGAAGAAAAGTGCTCCAATTTGAGGAAAACCATATACATGTGGGAAGCAAGATAGGTGACGGCTCATTTAAGACTAAAATATAATTTGTAAGTGAAAAAACCATTCATGCTGTGGGGGACTTTAAACACTAACAGTTCCTGGAGTGAGCAGCCTTAATACTGTGACGTGATGCAGTAAAGGATCGAGGAACAGCAGTGACCAGGCTCACCCACACTCAGGGTGCACAGGCAGGAACAGCTGCACTGAGGACCAGGGAAAGAGTCAGAAATCATTACTGATGAGAAAGAAGTGTTAGTGCTCTAGATCCCCCATTCCTTTTAAATGCAGAGCATATTCTGAAATAAGCTGTGCAAGATATCATAAACACAGTACATATGCATGAAACATTTTGACTACTGAATAAAAAAATGACAGGTAATTTTAAAACAGGAGGAACAGTGAAATAGCTAAGACAGAAAGATAAATGCTTTATGATTTCACTTATATGTGAAATCTTAAAAAAACAAAAAAAAAACAGGACAAACGAACAAAGATAAGAAAACAGAAACAGAGTCATGGATGAAGAGAACAAATAAGCATTGCGAAAGTGAAACAAGGAGCGAGGAGGAGGAAAGAAAGAAGTGAGACAGATTAAGAGGCACAAACTTCCAGCAGCAAAATAAGTGAGGCACAGATGTGAGTTGTACAGTGGAGGAAACACAATCAATGGTTATGTGACATCTTAGTCTGGTGAAAGACAGTGACTAGACTTTTTGTGGTGAGTATCTTGAAATTCTGAAACACTATGTTGTTTAAAGGAACTAACATAGTATTGTAAGTCAATTACACTCACAAATAAACAATCAAACTCATAGAAAAAAAGATCAGATTTGTGTTTAATGGGGCCAGGAGGCAGGAGGAGATGGAATTGGATGAAGGCAGTCAAAAGGTACAAAGTTAACGTGTTTCTTTTTGTCTTTCTTCTTCTTCTTCTTCACAGATGTTTCCTGTTCTTCTACAACTTGTACTACCTCTTCTTCTGTGTCTTCTACATCTTCTACTACTTCTTCTTCAACTTTAATTTTAACCTTGGCCCTTTTGGCCTTCTTTTCAATAACTTCATCCTCTTTGTCTACTTGTTCAATCTTGCATTTTTTAGAACAGGTTGGTAGTGTGGAGTCACCAGAAGGATCGTAACTCTTCACTTCACTTTTATGTTCATATTTTTCTGCTTTCGCTAATGCTTTTCCTGTCTCACTTATTTTCCTTATCCCTCTATCTTCCAATGCTCTCAACCTGGCTTCTAGTTTCGCTCTGTTCTCGACTCCCATTGCAGAGCTGGAAACCTCACCAAAGGCATCGTACCGGATAGCCAGGACAGTCTTGGCTGCCAGCATCTGAGAAATCTTTCCTTTGTGTTTGGGGCTCGTCTGGCCTACAAGTGAAGCATGATAAATGAGACCATACTTAGGCATATCTTGTCTAGACTTCAGGGCTCTGAAGAGTGACTTTTCTGCTCCAAGAATCTGAACTGTAGAAGCTGCATGTTTGGCCAAATTCAAAAGAGAACCTGCATGAGCAATAAGTCGTGCTCCAATTAATTCCCCAACCATGACTGTAACATTGGGTGCAATGGCCATCATTCGATTTTGCAGATATTCATAAAGTTGAGTTCTATACTCAGAGATTTCAATCACCTGAGTGCAAAGGTGCAGAATGTTGCAAATATCTTCTTCTGAAATTTTGGTTCCCATGGATATCTCTGCAGCAGCTTTCACTTCTGTTTCAACCTCCTCTGGCAGTTACTCAGAAAGTTGAGCTGAGGCATAATTCTTCCTATCGCCAACTTTCTGTAAACACTTGCAATATGTCAAATTATCTGAAATAATTTTTCGTAACTCAGGGAAATGCCAGCCATACCATTCTCTACACTGCATAATATAGTTGCTTAGTTCTTTATCTAAGTCATCTAACAGGGAAATTGCCTGAACAATCATGGTGTCCACTTTATCAGCACTAAATTTCAATCTGTATTGGGACAGGCTGTGTGCCAACCCAAGAAACATAGCTGTCATTGTCTCTGCTTTTTAATATGCTGTCTGGGTTGGTCATAACTTTCCTTCCAAGGAGCAGGTGTCTTTTAATTTCATGGCTGCAATCACCACCTGCAGTGATTTTGGAGCCCAAATAAATAAAGTCTCACATTGTTTCCACTGTCCCCCCATCTATTTTCCATGAGGTGATAGGACCAGATGACACAATCTTAGTTTTCTGAATGTTGAGCTTTAAGCCAACTTTTTCATTCTCCTCTTACACTTTCATCAAGAGGCTCTTTAGTTCTTCTTCATTTTCTGCCATAAGGGTGGTGTCATCTGCATATCTGAGGTTATTGATATTTCTCCCAGTTGCGAAAGAGAAATATCCTATGATATTGCTTATATGTGGAATCTAAAAAGAAATGATAGAAGTGAACTTACTTACGAAACAGAAATGGATTCACAGACTTAGAGAAGGAACTTATGGTTACCAGAGTTCTACTTTCATCTTAGACCACACAATAAAAGAAATATTCCAGCATTTATTCTTATCTACAATCATTAATTGCCCAACTGATTTAATATTGAAACTACAATAGATTCTTCTTGCCTCTTATTGGATTAAGCTATGGAGGCATATTAGATGTGAATCAAGAGTGAACACAAAAAAGCATGCTGCCTTTTTGGCATCTTCTAGTACCTTTCAATGTTATAGACTCATTCTGTCTATAGACTTTACAGGATAATATAATTTTTTCTCATTTGAGAATATGGAACATGTTAAATGATCCCATCTAAATTCTAAGAGAGGTAATTCAGTTCAGAGTTTGGTTTAATACAGAGGATAACTTTAGTGCTCTCATTTGAGTTTTTAAGAGAAGTGTCTAGAATTTACATCAGATTGAATTACCTTATGGTAATACATGATTCCAAACTCCACATGTTCTAAGTATGAAATTGTTATGTTAAATGGAACATAATATCCTTATGTGTCGCCCATGACACCAATTCTTCTTAGTACCTTTAAATAAAGTGTTTGTCTAAACATACCAGTTGACAAAGTGCCTCTCATTTGATCTTACATAACTCTCTATATTCTTGGTTATCAGTCATTATTTTTACTTACTTTCTCTCTAAATATATATGCATGCAATAGATATATGGTTGGCCAAAAAGTTTGTAAGGTTTTACAGAAAAACTTGAGAGAAATTTTTGGCCCACCCAATAAAATTACATGATCTCTGAAAAAAAATTTTTTTTGTCTTAATACCTTTGATTTTAACATTTTTAATGAGTAGAGGATTGCAAACTAGTCTTTAGGAAATATAGAAATGCATTTTCAGAAATTTTCTACATGTGAACTAAAGGGGGCAATGCTTCCCCTCATAAACATGAGTAACTGGTTAAAAAGAGGGCTGTTTACATGTGAAAGAGAAGGCACTGTGAAAGGAAATGAATAAAGTGGAGGAAGTGGCAGTCAGATGTGTGTTTGCTTGGGCAGGAGAGAGGACAACCAGAGTTTTTGCAGGAGAAATGAGAAAGCTCTTGGGAGCATCACTGTTGATTCTGTGGCTCCAGTCTGACTGTGAGTTGTGGGAGGGAGGTTTAAATATAGAAGAAAAATTCCAAGAACAATGCAAGGCTGGGAGCTGAGACAATTGGGGACTTTTATTTCAGTAGGTTTTCTGGATCATAATGATTTTCTGTGGAAATTTTAAGAATAAAATTTGAAATCTGTTGCTCTATTTTCAAACAGGGGTGAAGAGTCAACAGAAGAAGAGTGCTCAGCAGCAGGTTAAACAAAGTCCTCCATCCCTGAGTGTGACAGAAGGAGGGATTTCTATTCTGAACTGTGACTATGATAATACTATGCTTGATTATTTCCAATGGTACAGAAAATACCCAGCGAAAAGTCCCACATTCTTGATATCAATAAGTTCTGTTCTGGAGAAAAATGAGGATGGAAGGTTCACAGTCTTCCACAACAGAAGTGCCAAACACCTCTCTCTGCACATCTCGGCCTCCCAGCCTGGAGACTCAGCCTTGTACCTCTGCGCAGCCCGCACACGGTGCTCCCCAGGCACCTGCAGCCTGTACGCAAAATGCTCTGGGGACTCAGACTCAGAGGCACACAGACTTGCTTCCTGTTACACACGGCAGTGTGAGAAGCTGTGCCTTAAAGTGGGTGAGGCAGCTGACCTTTTCCTTCTCCAGGGGATCTTCCCAACCCAGGAATCAAACCAGGGTCTCCTGCATTGCAGGCAGAGTCTTTACCAACTGGGCTAACAGGGAAGCCCAGCTGAACTTCAAAGAAGACCAGTTGGTGGCAAGTCCTACATTCCCTGGGCTCCAGGATTTCCAGGAATCCAGCCTTTTTACTTTCAGAGGGAGGCTGCTGGGTCAGCTAAGCTCCAATCACTGGTGATGCTTTGTTGCCACTTGCTCCTGGAATGAGGTACCCTGTTTCCCCTGTATTCCAAAGAAAAGAGGTGTTCAGGATGGGGAATCAGATCTCACTGCAAGTTTTATAGTGATGCTGGTGTGCTTTTGAATATCACAGCCATGTGCTTCAGTTTTATATAAAATGGGTAATATATAACACATTATTTTTTTCTGGCTAAATGTGCCTTTCCATTTAAGGCATTTGAGGTTGTGTATGCTGTAAATCACATTCATTTACATGTTTCTTAATTTATAAGTACTTCTAGGCAATGCTTTAGCAAATCACTTACTGTGTATTCTTTCCCAGGATGGCATTCAATTATTTGACACATTGTCATCAGTAAAAGACACTGTCTTATTTTTGTTCGGTCACTCAGTTGTGTCCGGCTCTTTGAGACCCCATGGACTGCTGCACACCAGGCTTCCCTGTGTTTCAGTATCTCCAAGAGTTTGCTCAAACTTGTATCCATCAAGTCAGTAATGCCATCCAATCATCTCTTCCTCTGCTGCCTCCTTCTCCTATTCTCAATCTTTCCTAGCATCAGGGTCTTTTTCAAAGAGTCAACTCCTCACATCAGGTGGCCAAATTATTGGAGCCTCAGCTTCAGCATCAGTCCTTCCAATGAATATGCAGGACTGATTTCCTTTAGGATGGACTGGTTGGATCTCCTTGCAGTCCAAGGGGCTCTCAAGAGTCCTCCAACACCACAGTTCAAAAAGCCTCAGTTCTTCGGCACCCAGCTTTCTTTATAGTCCAAATCTCACATCCATACATGACTACTGGAAAAACCATAGCTTTAACTATTCAGACTTTTGTTGGCAAAGTGATGTCTCTGCTTTTTATTATGCTGTCTATGTTCGTCATAGCTTTCCTTCCAAGAAGCAAGTGTCTTTTAATTTTAAGGCTGTAGTCACTGTCTGCAGTGGTTTTGGAGCCCAAGGAAATAAACTCTGTCACTGCTTCCACTTTTCCCCTTCTATTTGCCATGAAGTGGTGGACCAGATGCCATAATCTTAGTTTTTTGGATGTTGAGTTTTAAGTCAGCTTTTTCACTCTCCTTTTTCACCCTCATCAAGAGGCTCTTTTGTTTCTGTTCACTTTCTGCCATTAAAATGGCATCATCATTAAGCTTTTGTGGGAGTTAATCAGGTTGAAAGACAGCCCAGGTAGGAAAAGTGACCTTACAAGTAGGAATAGCACACACAGGGCAATAGAGATTATAGTGAATTTCAGGACTTTGAAAGTCAAGGTTATGTTATGAATAAAATCACACAAATACAAAATTTTTAAACCAACACTGCAAAGTCACTATAATCTCAATTTTACAAATGAGCAAACATAATCTTCATGAAGTTACCAAAAGTGTTCTCTGTTTACTTGATATTCTTCTAATAATTCATTCATTTGGCATGTGATGTGTCCTAAATCCAAATACATATTGTGTCTGCACTCAGGAAGCATGTAATATTGGAAAGTCCATTACAAAACAGTGCAATCAAAGCTACCACAAGGGAAAAGTAAAATATGGTCACTAACAGAAGCATCCAAATTGGAAAAAGAGTATAAGGGAATACTACCTAAAATAGGTGGTGTCTATGTAAAGACTTTTAAAAGAATTCATCAAAGATGGAGTCAGGTAAAGAGTATCACAGAAAAAGAGAAATAGAATGTGCAAAGGTAAAGTTAAGATTTTGTTTAGGAGGATGACATTAACTCAGAATGGCTGGAGCACACAACTCCAAACAGGCAACAACAAATATAAAACTAAAACAATAAGCAGAAGCCACCTTGTGAAAATAATTATGAGCCATTATGAGATGCTGTATATTATCTGAAAGTCATTGAGAAGCACTGTAAGGGATCTGCACAGCAAATGTTACACTGAAATGTTAGTATCTGAAATATGATTTTTGTATATGCATATGTACTTATATATATGTAACTGTATATATGTGTGTGTATATACATATATATATATATACATATATACTAATATTTACCTTGATTTTTCTTTTTCTGTTCATCTTGGAGCAATTCTCTCTCTAACACTGGTATTGATAGACCTAACCTTGTAGAAGAAAAAAATTAAAGACACATCTTGGATGTAAACTTATTCAATAAGTCAAAATTCACTTTTCAATGAGCATTTCTCAGTCTTACCACAGGGAGCACTGTTTTCAAGGACTCTAGACAGGCACACAGTTCCCTGTGAACTGTGAAAGTGACTGGTTATCCCCAACTAAAAGTCAACATCCTAGCACCACCATACCATGTTGATCACCTCTTACAGTTTTATTTCGAGAACCTAGGGTCACTTGAAATGACCACTTTTGTTTAATAATAAAAATATTACCTACACTTCGCTGAACACTTAGCATGTTCTAGGACTCGTCCAAAGTCAGAGTTAGTAAATGGAGGATATGGGATTTAATTTAAGGGGTTACATTTAATCACAATCATCTAATACCTCTGAGAGTAGATGCACAGTTATACCCAGGCCTCCACAGTCTGTGCCTGACCCTGAACCTGGACCACGGATGCTCTCCAGACAGGACTTCTGCGGGGCACTGACCAGAAGGGTCATTCAGGAAGAAAG